CGAAGACATTGCCCACCCCCTCCTCATTAGCATATACTTAGCAGTGACCTCCAATCACACAGGACAGTGGATTTTTGCTTCCTGCTGAGTCTGAAGTAACTGGGTTTCAACCATACACACAGATTTAGAAAATAAGTATGTAAATGCAGAAATGTTTCCAGTGACTTGGTGTAAACTTTTGACATGAAGTTTGCCATGTGTCTTCCACCACTTAAAAAAACATCAGGCAGTGATGAAACATGAGTTCGCTTCCTCCTTCCTTCATCTTTTTACCCGTTTGTAGCGTTTACGCCTAAAGCCAAGGTTGTATCATGAAGCTATAAATCTAGAAGGGGACTGTGCGAGATGATGTGCGGTGTCTTGGTCTGTTCCTTACCATCCAGGAAAGGTTGTTTCCTCAGCCATTTTAAAAAGCAACAGAATGGGAGGGGGCGCCTGGGTGGCTCAGTCGGTTGAGTGTCTGACTCTTGATTTCGGCTCTGGTCATGATCTCAGGGTGGTGGGATTGAGCCCCGCGTGGGGGTCTGTGTTGAGTGTAGAGCCTGCTGTCCCTCTCCCTCTGCTCCTCCCCCGGTTCGCGCACAGGCATTCTCTCTCTCTCTCTCTCTCTCATAAATAAATAAAATCTTTTTTAAACAAGATCAACAGAATGGTGTGGGGGGAGCACCTGGCTGGCTCAGTCAGTGCTCTCTCTCTCTCTCTCTCATAAATAAATAAAATCTTTTTTAAACAAGATCAACAGAATGGTGTGGGGGGAGCACCTGGCTGGCTCAGTCAGTGCAGCACATGACTCTTGATCCTGGGGTTGTGAGTTTGAGCCCCACATTGGGTCTATGTAGAGATTACTTAAAAAAATAAAATCTTAAAAAAAAAAAATCAATAGCATTTGGGCCTTGCTTTTAAGAAATACCTCTCATTCTTTCTGAGCTAGTTCACTTTTTAAGGCCTTGCCCTTATCTTACAGTCCTTTCTAGAGGTGGGAGGGAGCTGTTTGGTACTGAATTCCTAAAAGCCGCTCACACCCTTGAAAGATGTCAGTCTCCCGTCAACCCCCTTTCCCAGGAGCAAGTGGCCTTCCACACCCCCTCTTCTCACACACCGCTGCTCCAGTCTGCTTACTGTCCTTGTTACTTACGACTGGGCCGCCTATGGTTCTCCCTCCCTTCAGCTCCAAGTCTGAAACTGTACAGGACATTCTCTAAGGAAAACCTGACCGGTTCATCAGTACAATTACTCCCTGACTTTCAGGACTGACACACTGGTGTTCACTTTTTAACAAATGGCATTGTGTTGTCTGCTATCTCTTGTGAGCCCCTGGTTTTGAACTGAAATCTTCATGCTGTGAGTAGAGAGTTACTCTCCCTCTCCCCCCAAGAGAACATAGCTTTTATATGTCCCTGATCTAATGGATATGTAATTTAATTTATCATATCCAGTGGATACGAAATCCAATACAAAACCCTTAATAGATAGTTTTGCATCTCAGCTATTGAATTATACATCCCCAGTGTGATTGGGTGGTAAGCACAAATGCTGGTATGATTTTATTCTCAAAGGATGTGAGCCAGACCCAGCTATGTTGGTGCTGTGGATTGGCATCATCACAGTGAGCCTCCACTGGTGGGGAGAATTCATCCTGCTAAGAGAGGACATTTCTGCAGAGCAGGCCCATGATGTCCCAGAGAGAGTATTTGTAATTTTCCGGTCCTTAGTATGTGCCAGACACCATGCTAAGTACTTAATGTCGGTGATTATTAAACCTTAAGAGAGTTAAGTTCCATTTGGGCCAGAAAAAGAGAAGAATCTCTTTTGCAGGAATGTGTCCAGGAAAAAATGGAACTGACAGATTGCCTGGTATGTCTGACTGTAGTGAGAGAAGTTTTAGAGTTGGGTAGAGAGTTCAGGGATAACATTGTAGTAGGCACATAGAAAACTAACCAAGTGTTCTCCCTCTCCCACTCCCCCTGCTTGTGTTCCCTCTCTCACTATGTCTTTCTCTGTCAGATAAATAAATAAAATCTTTTTAAAAGGGGGGGGGCACCGGGGTGGCTCACTCGTTAAGCGTCTGCCTTTGGCTCAGGTCATGATTCTAGGGTCCTGGGATCGAGTCCCGCATCAGGCTCCCTACTCAGCGGGAAAGCCTGCTTCTCCCTCTCTCACTCCCCCTGCTTGTGTTCCCTCTCTCGCTGTGTCTTTCTCTGTCAAATAAATAAATAAAATCTTTAAAAAAGAAAACTAACCAAGTGAAAATCAAGGCAAAACAGAAAGCTGTACAAATAAATGTATGTACTCATGAGCTCCTTTGTGGCTCAGCTACTTAAAATATACACAGAGATTTGGGGCACAGTCACTTGAGTGTTCAACTCTTGATTTCGGCTCGGGTCATGATCTCAGGGTCATACGATCAAACCCTGCGTTCAGCTTCATGCTGGGCATGGAGCCTGCTCAGGATTCTTTCTCTCAAAAAAAAAAAAAAATTTTTTTTTAAAAATATATATGCGGAGATTTTAGAATGTACACACCAAATACTGACTTAAGCAAAAATTATGATATAACTTGAATTAGAGTCCAGCCAGGAAAATAGGAATTCGGGTCTTTAAAACCAAGAGAATTTAATCCAGGGAATTGGTTATGTAGGTGATTGAGGTGAGAAGCCAAACAGGAGACAGCGAGGCTACCAGAGATGAGCAGCAACAGGAAGCTGTTGCCATCCCTAGACCAGAAAGGCAGAGGGAGGAGCCTCTGTATCGGAGCCCAGTGGCCAGGATGGTGGCAGCTAAATTCTGATCTCCTATAGAAGAAAGTCACTAGGTCATGCTTAAAATGAAAAAGCATCCTAACCACAGCAATAAGACAACAAAAAGAAAAGGCACCCAGATCAGTAAGGAAGAAGTAACACTGTCACTATTGGCAGATGACATGGTACTACATATAGAGAACCTGAAAGACTCCACCAAAAACTGCTAGGACTGACACACAAATTCAGTAAAGTTGGCAGGACACAAAATCAACGTACAGAAGTCTGTTGCATTTCAATATACCAGGAACAGAGCAGCAGAAAAAGAAATGAAGGCATCAATCCCATTTACAGTTGCACCAAAAACAGTAAGATACCTCGGAATAAACCTAGCCAAAGAGGGGAAAGCCTTTGTACTCTGAAAGCTATAAAACGCTGATGAAAGAAATTGAAGATGACACCAAGAGGTGGAAAGACATTCCATGTTCACGGATTAGAAGAACAAATATTGTTAAAACGTCTATACTACCTGAAGCAATCTACACATTTAATGCAATCCCTATCAAAATACCAACAGCATTTTTCACTGAACTAGAACAAACAATTCTAAAATGTATATGGAACCACAAAAGACCCCAAAGAGCCAAAGCAATCTTGAAAAAGAAGAGCAAAGCTGGAGGCATCACGATTCCAGACTTCAGGTTCTATTCCAAAGCCACAGTAATCGGAACAGTATGGTGCTGGCACAAAAATAGACCCGAAGATCAATGAAACAGAATAGAAAATTCAGAAATGAACCCACAATTATAATGGTCAATTAATCTTCGACAAAGCAGGAAAGAATATCCAATGAGGAAAAGACTGTCTCTTCAACAAATGGTGTTGGGAAAACTGGACAGCGACATGCAAAAGAATGAAACTGGACCATTCTCCTCACCATACACAAAAGTAAATTCAAAATGTATTAAAGACCTAAATGTGAGGCCTGAAACCATAAAAGTCCTTGAAGAAAGCAGAAACAGTAATTTCTCTGACATCGGCTGTCTTTTTTCTAGATAGGTCTCCTGAAGCAAGGGAGACCAAAGCAAAAATAAACTACTGGGACTACATCAAAATAAAAAGCTTCTGCATAATCAAAAGAAATAGTCAACAAAACTAAAAGGTAACCTATGGAATGGAAGAAGATATTTGCAAATGACATCCAATAAAGGGTAAGTAACCAAAATATATAAAGAACTTATAAACTCAACACCCAGAGAAGAAATAATCCAATTTAAAAATGGGCAGAAGACATTAATAGACATTTTTCCAAAGACATACAGATGGCCAACAGACATAAAAAGATGCTCAACATCACTGATCATCAGGGAAATACAAATCAAAACTACAATGAGATATCATCTCACATCTGTCAGAATGGCCAAAATCAATAACACAGGTGTTGGTGAGGATGTGGAGAAAGGGGAACCCTCTTGCACTGTTGGTGGGAATGTAAACTGGTATAGCCACTTTGGAAAACAGTATGGAGGTTCCTCAAAAAGTTAAAAAAAGGAACTATCCTACAATCCAGTAATCTCACTACTAAATATTTACCCAAAGAATATAAAAATACTAATTCAAAGGAATACATGCACCCCAATGTTTGTAGCAGCATTATTTACAATAGCCAAATTACGGAAGCAACCCAAGTATCCATCAGTTGATGAACAGATAAAGAATGGATAAAAGAAAAAATATGCATGTGCACACACACACACAGGAATATTATTCAGATGTAAAAAAGAATGAAATCTTGCCATTTGCAGCTACATGGATGAAGCTAGAGAGTATTATGCCAAGTGAAGTAAGCCAGAGAAAGACAAATACCATATGATTTCACTTATACGTGGAATTTAAGAAATAAATGAGCAAAGGGGGTGGGGGAGAGGAGAACAAACCAAAAAAAAGACTGCTAACTATAGAGAATACACTGGTCTGCTGGTCACCAGAGGGGAGGTGAGTGGGGGGATGGGTGAAATAGGTGATGGAGATTCAGGAATGTTCTTGTTGTGAGGAGCACTGGATGTTGTACAGAATTGTTGAATCACTATATTGTACAACTGAAAGTGATATTACACTGTATGTTAACTAACCAGAATTTAAATAAAAGCTTAAAAAAATGAAATAAAAAAGCAAGAACTAGCATTAAAAACATACCATGTAGAAATATGGAGGTAAATACCAGAAGAAAGCACTAAAAACTGGTTGGCCCTGAGAGGCAAAAGGAGGAACAAGGGAGTAGTATTTTTTGTAAAAAGACTTATAAATCCCATTTGCCTTCTTGACTATATTGCATTGATAAACAGCTGAAGAGAGAAGTCTTTAGTACACTGTAGATTTGTGTTTCTTTGACTAAGGTTCCAGTTCATTTGTGTGCATTTCTTTTTCCCACTTAGATATGTTGATGATGTGATCAGCCGCATTGACAGGATGTTTCCTGAAATGTCCATCCACTTATCCAGGCCCAATGGCACATCAGCAATGCTTCTGGTAAGTTCTGCTTGACCTGTCTGTAGGGTCATGTGGAAGAAGACTAGCCTCAAGATTGTCTCTGACTCTGTCGTAGGATCTAGAGAATGGAGACTAAATCCCGGTTTGATGGTGAATAGCATATTTCTTTTCACTGGTATCCTGTAGTTTCAAAACTCTGCACATTGAAACTTGGCTTTTGAATGAAATTGCAGAGCCCATGTAAGAATGACCTAGAGAGGAAATACACTGTAAGACCATTCCACCTGTAAGTCAGTTCAGGATGTTTTGGTGAATCTTTTATATTGTCTCAAAGAAATGCCCAACTAGGGGCACCTGGGTGGCTCAGATGGTTAAGCGTCTGCCTTCAGCTCAGGTCACGATCCCAGGGTCCTGGGATCGAGTCCCGCATCGGGCTTCCTGCTAGGCGGGGATCCTGCTTCTCCCTCTGCCTCTGCCTCTCTCTCTCTCTCTGACTCTCATGAATAAATAAATAAAAAACTAAAAAAAAAAAAAAGAAATGCCCAACTATTGGATCCTGCTAAGAAAAACACCATCTTAAAATAGAACCAGGTTCAGGGTGCCTGAGTGGTTTAGTCGGTTGAGCGTCCGACTCTTGATTTCGGCTCAGGTCATGATCTCATGGGTCGTGAGATGGAGCCCTGTGTCGGGTTCCACACTCAGCACAGAGTCTGCTTGAGATTCTCTCTCTCCCTCTGCCCCTCCCCTGCTCACTCGCACCCCCCTCATAAATAAATAAATAAAATCTAAAAAAAAAAAAATAGAACCAGGTTCTGTGGACAATCGCTTATAAAATCCATCATGTATTTGAAGAAAATATTCTGAGACCTTATCACTGATGATTTCCAATTTTGTTGTTTCTGATTTTGAGTTGCTCTGAGCAAGTTGGCCTCACACCCGCACCACTGATGTTTGCATTTGCATGAATTCACCAAAGGCAGGTGTGATTGGGAAATATAGTGGAACAGAAATGCTAAGTTTTATTACTAATTAGAAAGGCATAGACACCTCAGGGATGTGAAGCTTTTCTAGCACTCTGTGATAATGTGTGCTTGAAGAATACTTCTCTGAACACAGATTTTGAGGAGCCACCACATTTTACAAAAAGCAGAATTAATCGAATCAAGAGTGATGGTTTTTCATGGGCATCAGGGAGATGAGCTTCAGGACTGAGTGTTTTTTGTGTCTTGTCAGTTGCTCCTGCTTTGGGGCCTCTTGCGAACTCCCTATACTTCAGCGTTTTACTTTTGCAGAATCTTATGAAGAGCCAGTCACCCAGGATGAGCCACGATCCCTCCAGCTGTTCACCTGAGGAGAACGGGCTTACTGTGTGCGCGGGTGTGGTTTTCTCTTAAGAAAGGAAGAGATGTGGGCTTATCAAATGGGTGTTATTTCTTTTGTGAGAAAAAATTAGTGAACATTGGGTATCGTGCTACTTTAAATTCTTTCAGTTAAAAAGTACAGTGAATGAGTTAATACAGTGTTCTTTAATAGAAAAAGAAAACAATTTGTATCTGTCTACAAAACATGCACTATCTTTTGCCTCAGTTAAATGTACAAATTGTCTAAATTTTAAGATCCTCCAGGCCCAGCAGCTAAAACATAAATCCTGCTTTCAGCATACTTGACAGGGACCAAGGAGTTAATGAAGATAAAAATGAGAGCATCCTCAGTGAAATAGGTTTGTTCAAATTATTTCTGGGTCATTGAGCTTCCATTTCATGATGGAGGTAGGGATTTGGCATTGAAGGGAATGAGCAGAGGGAACAGGATCATAGGTAAACAGGTCTAAGATATTAGAGTTACTTCCACCTGAGAAAGCGGGCTTTTATTTCACAAGGACCTGTCAGCCCTGTCTGCTTTCCCATGGAGCTGCTGTTTTAACAGACCGATGAGGGAATTTAGGGGCTCAATTCAGGGAAGAACCCCATTTTATATATGCATTTTTACCCCCATGCGTGGCTAATTCAGAACACTATATGCATCTAGCCAGCTAGTTGTTACCTTCCTTAGGTGACACAGGAATTCACATAAGGTGGTGCATATTTATAGGAATAGCAGTGGGAGATCTGATTCAGAATCAGATTGCTGGGTGGGTAATCATACTTTTAACAAAACTGCTTGATTTGGCTTTTACTTTCACAAGATGGCATTTTATTAGGTTGCAGACCCCTGGCCCATTTGCTGCTGCCACCCAGACACCTTCTCTGAGGCTGAAAGGAATGCTCACCTGGCGGAGGAGCAGGATCAGCACCTCCCCTCCTGCCCTTGCTCAGCAGCTGCTCCCCGTGACCTCAGTGGAGAATGTTTGGGACCTGCACTGTAGGCAGTGAGGGCACCCCCGCGGGAGGTGTAGGCAAGAGTTGGAAGTGTTGTTTTCTGGAGATGCGTCTGGAGTACAGTGTATTCTGGAAAGCTTCGGGAGACGAGCGAGACTGTCCAGGACAGACCGTTAAGGCTGGTGAAGCAGGACACCCACGAGTAGTCTCTGCTGACATCTCCTTTTACCTGCCTTGACCGAGGCGCGGATTGCACCTGTGCTTTTTTAATAAAATGACATCTCCTCCTGAGTCAGCCAGCCTTCCTTGAGTGCAGTCAACAGAAACCTGCTCTGATTAACTTAAGCAAGAAAAGGGTTCAGTTTTTGTCTTTGTTTTGCTTTCTAATGTTGCTGGATGCTCAGAGACTGGAAGGTAGAGCTGATCTGCCAGGAGGGACAAAAACCAGGATAGCTCCAGGGGCGTCCAGAGCAGGATGACGGTCCTTTGGGGACACTCTGGGGGCCCAGAAATGGCTCCAGTTAATCTGTGCAGCATGATCTACTGTGATCAGCACATTCTGCTGACTTGTTATAGATCTCTTCCAGTTTGGGTGTATGAATACCGGCTTGGGGTGGGGGGGCGGATATCTTTGTGCACATACGTAGTAAAACGACGTAAAGTCATCGAACTCCAGAGCGTACTATGAACAAAAGGCAGGTGTGGTGATCCGTTCTCATCCCCCGCCCACTCCCACCAAGCCAAGAAGCAGCAGCAGAGTGCCTCAGATGTACGAAGATCTGTCATTGGGAGCCACAGTCTAACATCAGTGTAGAAGGGGAAAAGGGAGGCTGTAATTTGGTACTTTTCTAGGGGGTTGGGGCCAGCTTGGCTCATCGAAAGCAAAACCAACCTTTCTTTGTTGGCTGGAGGCATCAGGGCTTCAGAACCCATCAGAACCATTAGGAGTGCCCAGCTTCCGGCCTGGGCACTGTGTTTGACTTGAAGCATATACACGTATCCCTTTCACATGTGCGGACCCCCAGATAGTGCATGCTTGGGAGGGGGAGCTAGAGGAGGGAAGGGAGGACCAGTAGGTGCTCAGGGAGGGTTTGCTGCATAGATACGCGGATGACAGACAAAAGCATCTTTCTCTTCCATAGGTATCAGTTTGTCCATCTTGGCTGCAGTGGGACCTGCTGCTCAGGGAAGAGGCAGTCAGCATTGGTCTAGTTTGATGCCAGAGCTGTCAGAACAGTTACCGCCATAACTTCTTCTGGCATCTTTGTGAGCCTTAGGTAATTGGCTGTATCTTCTAAACACCACATCCTAGCTGATAGGAAATATAAAGTTTCAGCCTCTTACATAATCTTTAAATACACTGTGGCTGGCTCTCTGCTCTGTTGGGGGGGGGGTGGGGGCTGTTTTGGTGTTGTGTAAGTTAATAACTCATGATATAATAAATCCTGTTTCCGTTCTTTGAAGGGATGAGCTCAGCCATCCAAAAATAAATCTAGCTATGTTGATATTTAGTTTCAGTTAATCTACCACCTAACATCCCATTATTAATTTTCTTCAAACAGTCAAAATATTGTAAGAGTTTAACTGAGTCAGAGACTAGAACAAGCAGCTGGCTTCTTTTGGCATTTAAAATATTAATCTACAAGTTTTGACTGATTCACTAGGTATACGAACATAGAAAAGAAGAAAAGACGCCTCAACCATGATATTTGAAATATACCTTGGTATTTTATAAATTAATCTTTATGTTATATGATTTATAAGAGAGAAAACTCATTTATCAATCTTTCTAAATACACATTTTAACTAAGCTTTAATTTCTTTAACATATTCATGCCTTGCTTTTGAATGACACATCTTTTTTAAACCGTTCAGACACATTATCTCATTTTGCCCTATCAGAAGCTCTCGCAGCGGGAAAGACTGTTGAACAGCTAACCTGCTTAACTAGTCTGGGCTTCAATTTCTCCACTGGGTTCCATAGTTCTCAAACTATAGTAGACCCAAGAATCACCATTCTAGTGTGTGGGAAATGCACATCCCTGGCAGACAGCACAGAAATTCCGACTCTGTAGGTCCAGGATAGAGCCCAAGAGGCACATCTCACAGGTGCCCCACCGAAGCCTCAGGTAATCTGTGCAGCAAGTTTTGAGAACCAGTATTCCAACCCTTTGTACCCTTGAAGTTCCAGCGAAGGCCAGTCTGTTTGAGAAGTCCCAGCTCTGGCGTCAGACTGTTTTATGAGCTAGGTTCCTAAAGCATTTATTCACTCCCTCAGTAAATACTCTGGGCACCAGGAGAGAAAAGCATGGTCGTGGGTGCTGCTCAGCATTGACTGAGGTCCATGCACTTGTGGAGGCTGTGTTGTGGAATGGGAAATGGACGGGACACCAGCCAGTTGTTGCATCATATGATGGCAGATGGTGATAAGGCTAAGGGGGAAGGAAGCAGGGCAGGGGCTGGAGAGAGAGAGGGGTGCCGTGGGAGTGGGGCTGGGGGTCAGGGAAGCCCTCTATGAGTAGGCACCTGCCAGAAGTGGGCCGAGGTGCTGATGGGTCCAGGAGGGGCAGCACAGGTACAAAAGACCCTAGCGGGATGACAGTGTGCGTGTGTTCGGATAAAACCAAGGAGGCAAGGATGGCTGGAGTGCTGGGAGCCAGGGGAGGAGATGAGACCGCGGAAGCCACACCGCGGTGGACCAGACTCACAGACAATGTGGAGGGCTGGGATTTTTTTAATTTTATCTTAACCTTAGGTGTAGAATTGAATTGATCATGATCCTTGATTCATGACACACTTGTCATCATTGATCTAGGCATCTAGGCATTCATATTTCTTTAATAATATAGTGAACATTTGTGAACCTACCACCCAACCCCAGAGCTAGAATTTATCTGCAACGTGTACACCCAGCGAGCAGCCCCTCCTGTCCCCTGCCTCTGCCCCGTAGGGAGCTGTCAGCCCTCCCTTCGTGTTTCGTTCTCTTCCCGGCCCTGTTACGAGGGAAGCTTTAACACGTATGTATCTATTCTTAAATAATGTATTCTTTAATTTTACCTGTTGTAATTAATTATTTTTAAAAGATATCATACGTTGTCTTCAGGGACTTAATTTTTTCACTCAACATTTTTTTTCCTTGATATCATTCAAATAGTTGGTTTAGCTATAGCTTACTCATTTTGCTAATATGAAATACTCCATTATATGAATATATGCTAATTTAGTTATCCTTTTTTATATTAGTGGTCAATGATTTGTTCCTGGTTTTGGTTTTTATACTATAAACAGTCTGCTTTGAACATTCTTGTTCATATCCTTGGGACCCTGGGCTCAAGTTTTTCCCGGAGCTTTTCCTAGGAGCAGAGTGCTCAGTTTAGGGTGGTGGTTCTCAGCTGGGGTGATTTTTGCCTCCCAAGGGATATTTGGTAAAGTCTAGAAACATTTTTACTTGTCACAACTCGGGAGGAGGGGTGCTGCTGGCATGTAGGAGGTAGAGCCCAGAACCACTGCTAACCATCTTATAGTGAGCAGGGCAGCCCCCCACCTCAAAGGGTCATCCAGCCCAAAATCAAAGTGCCAAAGCAGAGAAAGCCTGAGTTAGGGCACCCAGACTGCCCATGAAAACGCCAAAGGGTTTTCCTAGGTGGTTGCACTCATTTACACCCCACCAACAACTCCAAAGTAGCAAAACATGTCTTACCCAGACATACAAAGATTCAGGTAGTGACTTTGGTTGAACTTCAGATTTCTGAAGATCATCCGGTGCTGAAGTTCTGTGACTCCCAGCAGTCGCTTTCGGAAACTCCACCCGTGTGTCAGCTTTTTTGTCACAGCACAGAACATTATTGGAATTCTTTGTTAAATGCTTTTTTTTTTAATGCCGTTTTATAAGATTTATTTAAAAATCCAGTCAAGAAATGGGCAGAAGACATGAAAAGACATTTTCCCAAAGAAGACGTACAAATGGCTAAGAGACACATGAAAAAATGCTCAGCGTCACTCGGCATCAGGGAAATACAAATCAAAACCACAATGAGATACCACCTCACACCAGTCAGAATGGCTAAAATGAACAAGTCAGGAAACGACAGACGTTGGTGAGGATGTGGAGAAAGGGGAACCCTCCTACACTGTTGGTGGGAATGCAAGCTGGTACATCCACTCTGGAAAACAGCATGGAGTTTCCTCCAAAAGTTAAAAATAGAACTACCCTACGACCCAGCAATTGCACTACTAGGTATTTATCCAAAGGATGCAAACAGTAATTTGAAGGGGCACATACGCCCCAATGTTTATAGCAGCAATGTCCACAATAGCCAAACTATGTTAAGAGCCCAGATGTCCATCAACAGATGAATGGATAAAGAAGATGTGGTATGTGTATATATATGTGTGTGTGTGTATATGGAATATTACTCAGCCATCAGAAAGAATGAAATCTTACCATTTGCAATGACGTGGACGGAATAGAGGGTATTATGCTAAGCAAAATAAGCCAGTCAGAGAAAGACAGATACCATATGATTTCACTCATATGTGGAACTTAAGAAACAAAACAGATGAACGTGGTGGGGGGAGGGAAGGAAAAATAAAATAAGATAAAAACAGAGAGGGAGGCAAACTGTAAGAGACTCTTAACCCTAGGAAAGAAACTGAGGGTTGCTGGAGGAGAGGTGAGGGGGGAGGGGTAACTGAGTGACAGGCATTAAGGAGGGCACTTGATATTATGAGCACTGGATGTTATATAAGACTGATGAATCACGGGCGCCTGGGTGGCTCAGTTGGTTAGGCGACTGCCTTCGGCTCGGGTCATGATCCTAGAGTCCCGGGATCGAGTCCCGCGTCGGGCTCCCTGCTCGGCGGGGAGTCTGCTTCTCCCTCTCCCACTCCCCGTTTGTGTTCCCTCTCTCGCTGTGTCTTTCTCTGTCAAATAAATAAATAAAATCTTTAAAAAAAAAATTTAAAAAAAAAATGATGAATCACTAAATTCTACCTCTGAAACTAATAATACACTATATGTTAACTAAATTAAATTAAAAAAAATGTCTAAATCCATTTTTATAGTTCTTCTTCATTTTGGACACATCAAAATTGCTTTACCAAACCTGGTTCCAAAAGACGTTTCCAAAGATCAAATCCATTCTTTGTGGCAGCAGTTCCCGATAATGGTTGGGCAACAAGGGGTCAGAGACCCTTTCAGGAAGTCTAAAGTCAGAACGATTTTTATGGCAATACTAAAACATCGCTCTCCTTTCTTACTCTTGTTTACTCACACATTCACAGTGGAGTTTTCCAGAACCTCTACACATATAAGATGATGTCATCACACTGACACCTATTGATTGGCTCCAGCAGTCTTCAAACATTTCTGTTTTATTTTTAAAATGGTAAATATTGGTAGCTGTATCCCACAGAAACAGAAGTTACTTGGGGTCCTCAGTAATTTTCAAGAGTGTAGAGAGGTCCCAAGACCAAAATGTTTGAGAACTGCTACTTCAGGGAGAAGTATATTCAACTATTAAGCATATTCAAAGCAGTATATCAAACTAAATTTCAAAAAGGTGGTTCCAGAAGTGTTTGTTGCAATGGCAATGATATGAATGGAAATTTATTAGTGATAAAAAACTTTGAGGTTTAAAAAAAAAGTCAAAAAGTATAAGACAAAGGGATGGGAGACATTATACAGGACAGTTCTGTTTCTTCAACAGAGTCAGTGACAGGGAGAAAACAGGGAGGACAGAATGCTGAAGAGGCTCAACAGCAGCATGTGCGGTGTGGACCTTGTTTGGGTCCTGATTCAACAAACCAACTGTAAGAGAAGATTTTCGTAAGCAATCCAAGTGATCTGCACATGGTCTCCATTTCAACTGATACCAAGGAACTTGGGGTAATTTTGTTAGGGGTGATAATGACCTCGTAGTCGTGAAACAAAAGGTCTGTGTTTTAGAGGTGAGCACTGAAGTTTGTAGAGCTGACACAGCTTGATATAAGAGCTATGCTTTAAAACATTGCAACAGAAGAAGGGGAGGGATAGGTAAAGCAGGTGTGGCAAAATCTTGATCATTTTTTAATCTGGGTAGTTATTAAGCAGTCTCTCTTCCTTTGGTCTGAGCATGTTCACAATCAGAAACACTGTGGTTGGCCGTCCAATCAAGTCTAAGATACATTCTAGTAATGCTGGCAGACTTCAAAGATAGAGGGAAAAAATCCTCAAAGCTTCTAAGCAAAAAAAAAAAAAAAAAAAAATCCAATAACTTACAAGGCAAAAGAATTAGACTGGCATCAGGTGTCTCAAAAACAATACATAAAGCAAAGCAGTGATGGAGTGGCATTTTCAAAGAAAGCATGAATCAAGGATATATGTGTCTTTCAAGTAGCAAGGCCCAGAAAAACCATTTTTAACATAAAAGAATTCTCTGCCTGTCAGCCCATCTTGTGGAATCTGCCAGAGAATGAGCTACATCCACCCAAGAGCTGATAGGGGAGCCCAAGCCTAAGGACTGAC